CAGGTGAAAAGGAGGAACCCAGACCCAGACCAGTGGTCATTCCATATGTTGAGGGAGTATCAGAGAAACTGAGACGTTTATTTTCTAAACATAACGTCCCAGTGGCTTTTAAACCCCAAAATACATTACGGCAAAGACTGGTTCATCCCAAAGATCCAGTCCCCCGGCACAAACAGAGTAATGTTGTGTATGCTGTTCAGTGTCAGGAGGGCTGTGATCAGTCTTACATCGGGGAAACAAAACAGCCACTGGCCAAAAGGATGGCCCAGCACAGAAGATCAACATCAGGCCAGGACTCTGCGGTCTACACTCATCTCCAGGCCAGCGGTCACTCTTTCAGGGATGAAGATGTCACATCCTGGATAGAGAGGAACGATGGTTTGAGAGAGGAGTAAAGGAGGCCATCTTTGTGAAAAGAAATCGTCCATCATTAAACAGGGGTGGAGGCCTACGTGTTCAACTGTCCCCCTCTTACAATGCTGTGATTGCTAGTATCACTCAGCCCTCTGTGAATAGTACACAGCCATCAGTGTGCTAATGATCCATTGTTAGGCTGATGGTCCTTCTTGAGCATGTGATCAGCTGGTTTTGGTTGTCAGCAGCAAAACTGGTTGATCCACTCTGAGAAGGTGCTATTTAAGAGACTGAGCTGAAAACAGCACCTCAGACTGAGGAAGTCTCTTGGATGAGAGACGAAACGTTTCTACATTTTTTGTTGTTTTGCTTTGTTTTTTTGTTGTTTTTTTTAATGTCCAGAGGACCAGATTTAACTTTTTTAGATACACAAGGAATCACACCAGATATTAAAAATAACAGAGGATATAAAAATGCCAGCAACTAACTTCTAAACAGGTGCAGACAGAAACATTAAAGTGATTATTGTGGTGCAGGATTAATTTTATTGTCCTATGTGTAGAAAAGGGGAGCAGTTGAAAAGTTTGATAGTCACAGGGAGGAAGGACTTCCTGTGTTGTTCTGTGGAGCACCTCGGTGGTCTCAGTCTATGGCTGAAGGTGCTGCAGTAAGAGTCCAGTGTTGTTGGGGGGGGGGGGGGGGGGTCCTAAGACACCTCTGTCAGAGACTGCAGGTCCACTCCCAGAACAGAGCCAGCTCTCCTGATGAGTTTATGGAGTCTGTTGGCATCAGCTTTCTTCACCCTGCTGCCCCAGCACACCACAGCGTAGAAGAAGACGCTGGAGACCACCGAGTGGTAAAACATCTGCAGCATGGTCTTGCAGATGTTAAAGGACCCGAGTCTCCTCAGAAGAAGAAGGCGACTCATCCATTTCTTGTAGAGTGTGTTAGTGTTAGCTGTCCAGTCCAATTTAAAGATGTGTTTAAGATTTCCTGAACAGGTTTTGCAAGTAACCTAAATGTTTATGGTAAAAGACATTCAAGTGGGCAGGAATTACACTGTGTATAAGGTTATTGTTTTGTTTTTGGTTTTTTTTTGCTTGTCACAAGCAGTGTAGAATGATGGATCAAGGCAAGTGGAGGGAGTCGTTTTATCCACCACTAGGAGCAATGAAGAAGACATAGGGTGGCCAATGGTGGCCTTAGCCACCATAAATTCAGTCACCCTAATCATTTGAGAGAACTGTACTTTTAAACAGTATAAAACCTGGAAAGTTTCCTCAAATGATTGGAGTAGTGTCAGGAACAGGTTTTTGGATTCTTTACAAGCCAGACACAGGAGTACAAAAAACAAGAACAGTTTATTAATTAGGTTGCTGGAGTCAGGATCAGAAGTGTTAACAGGTCCTCACAGGCTGTAGGGAGAGAGTCACCTGTCAATAATGACGTCACTGTCAGCAGCTGCAGTATGAGGTTCATGGAGGGGCAAGTCCAAAAGCAGGGTCCAGATAAAGCAGGGGTCATACACGGGGGAACAGAGAGCAGAAACCAGAGCCAAGTCGTAATCCGTAATCATAGTCGTGGAGGGAAAGCAGAGTTGTTTACAGTGGTCTGATGTGAAGTCAAAAATCCAAAGAGTGACGGGCAAAGCGAAGAATCCAGGAAACAGGTGTGAGGTCAATAATCCAGAGAGCAAGGCTTGAAGTCTAGGCATGCAACTGTGAAGGATTGAAAATCAGGGACCATGGAAGGTGTAATAATTCAGCACTGGTGGAGAGGGAGAATGGAGCTTATAAAGGGTGCAGAGCAGGTGAACTAGATGAGCTGAAGCAGGTGAGTGGAATCAGGCCTGATTGCTGTGATAAACAAGGGAGGCGTGGCTTGGAAGGAGTACGATTGAGCTGGAGATGGGTGATAAGCATTTCAAAGCAGGGAAGAGGAACTACGGTATGAGGGCTGTAACAATAGCAGGAGGGAGGGAGTGTGAGACATGGACCAATGGGGGGGGGGAGGGTTCAGTGGGGGCTGCTGACCATTACAAGTAGTCATATATATATATATATATATAAACACCCAATTTTTGATAGGGACCTATTTTACTTAGCTGAGAAGCGTTTTACTCAAAGCTCTTTGGTCAAGCGTTTTGAAATCGTACTAAATAATATTACTTAAAAGTATGCAAGAACCGAGATGTAAAATTAAATCATCACAGTTCACACGTACAAACTCACTGTGTCTGATTTATAAAGATTTGCTGCCTTTTCACAATGTTTCATGTTGGTTTTCTTTCTTTCATTTGATCAGCTTGTGCCAGACCAGTGATCGACAGCAGAATCACCGGAGGTCAAAGTGCAGCTGCAGGACGTTGGCCGTGGCACGTTGTTTTTAAAAGATTTGGATATTTGTTCTGTCAAGGATCCCTGATCACTGATCAGTGGGTGCTGACTGCTGCCCAGTGCTCAATAAAGTGAGTAATAGTTTTTGTTTGATGTTGTTGTTTTTGTTGTTCTTAGTCAGGATATTTTGGGATATACAGTAGAAGACCAGTCATAATCATAAACAAATTATTCCATGGAGCCAGCACAATGTGAGAAGTACTTGTAATTTTTAATGACCATAAAGATAAAATATAGAACATTGCAAGTACTTTTTTTTTCAACATTCTGGAAATTTAGAATATGGAGTTTATAAATTTATTAGAGTTGTAAACCCCCACCCCCCCACACACACACACACCAAAAACAAGAAGGAAAAAAGAAAGCTGGACTTCTGTTCAGATGAACACAACGGAAGTCCAGTTGTTTTGCTTTTTTTTTCTTAGATTTACCTTATCCTTTGGAAAGCAATTCCATTCAAAATTAAATAAATAAATAGTGTTACTTAAAAAATTGTAATAAATATTCCATTAAAAAAAATTATGTTCCCATGAAATAAAACATTTAAATGGGAATGTTTAGTTTTTTCTCCTAGATTTATTTTTTATTTGTTTCAATATTTATTTTTTATTTATGTCAAGATTTATTTATTTATTTAATAACTGAGTTTCATTTTGGGACACTTTTATTTTGTAAAGCTACTTTACCTATTTCTGGGGCTTTAATTTTTTTTAACCCCATTTTTCATTTTAAGCACTTTTTATTTTGTGTTCTTATATTCAAATAAGGGGGCGGGGTTTTCTCTGTGGGGCGGGTCTGGTCAGGATTAGCAGATTGCATCTGCTCCGCAGAAATGAGTGAGATTTTGAGCCGCTAGAAGCTGCTACGTCATCGCCTAATTTGCATATTTGGTCATGTTGATCAGGATGTAGGAGAGAGGAATATCAACATTGGCAAGACAAAAAAATGAGTAAAAAAATAATCAAAATATGTTTAGAATGACAAATGAACTTTATGAAATAATTTCATAACTTTAATGCTTTGCCTGAATCCACACTACATAAAGAAATGTTATTACAATATCAAATTTAAGCAAAAAACAGTTACGTGTTGTGGAATTCACAATCCACATTCAACCCGCCTCTTTTATCTGGGGTTGGAACCACAGGGATTTATTTTAGCACGACAGTCAGTGAAAAATATATACATTTAAAATTATATTACATTATATATACATCCCGCTTCGTAATCCATGGCGTGATTCATTTGCAGTGTGGACACGGAGTGGAGCGAGTCTCCTCTCTGCTTTGAGACTGACAGTTGTCAAGGTTTTGGGGAAGTGGGAGGGGCTTATGGCACACTGAGGATGCCGAATGATTGGTGCTTTCACATGTAGTCCCCAAAGTCTCCAGTAATGCAGAGAAAAAGTCTATAGATTTGTCACTAGTCGCTTTTTCGAAAGAAAAAAAAGTCGCTAGAGAAAAACTCGCTAAATAAATGTACAAAGTCGCTAAGTTGGCAACACTGAGCCATGTCTGCTCTTGTGCTCTAGCCCGTGTTGAAACTTTGTGCTGCACATTGGTTCCTCTTCAAAAAAGGGCCTGTGTGTGTGTGTGTGTGTGTGTGTGTGGGGGGGGGGGGGTAGCATGAGAAATACGAAGTGTGGCGCGTGCACGTCATGAACTGCTAGTGTCGCACGGTCAATGTATGTGACCTGAGAGGCCATCCTTTATTTTATTTTTGATTCAGTCTCAGATATTATAGGCTGCATTGACCCTGACCAGGTCCGCCCCACAGAGAAAACCCCGCCCCCTCATTTGAATACAAGAACATGAAATAAAAAGTGCTTAAAATGAAAAACAGGGTTAAAAAAAATATAAGCCCCTGAAATATGTAAAGTAGCTTTACAAAATAAAACTGTCACAACATGAAACTCCATTAATAAATAAATAAATAAATTGTGAAAAAAAAATAATAATAATAATTCTTGGGGAAAAAAAAAATCTTAAAATAAATAAATCTTGGATTAAAAAAACCTAAACATTTCTATTTAAATGTTTTATTTCATGGGAACACTTTTTTATTTAATGGAATATTTATTAATCATTTGATAATAACACTATTTATTTATTTATTTATTTATTTATTTAATTTTGAATGAAATGTCTCTCCATATTATCCTGGATATTCAGTGAGACAAACGTGGAAAAACATTAAAAACTGATTCTCTTTTTTTTATTATTCAAGTTCCTATCTCAGTGGTGCAGAGGTGCAACTGGGTGCCATCAACCAGACTGGTTTCGACCCCAACTTAGTGACTCGGAGAGTAGAATATTTCATCTGCCATCAAGACCTTACCAACCGCTATGAGAACGACATCTGCCTCGTGAAGCTGTCGGCTCCCGTCAACTTTACAGACTACATCCAGCCAGTCTGCCTAGCTGCAGAAAACAGCACTTTCTATGAAGGGACTACCAGCTGGGTCACTGGTTTTGGTTACAACAGTGAGTCAGAAAATTCACATTTTACATTTTATTTCTTTATTGACATTCCTAGGGTTATAGCTCGGTGGTCAATGCCACAGCCTTGTAATCCTGAGGCTGCAGGTTCAAACCCAGGTTGCATCAGAAAGAATATTCATTGTTGGTACCTTTCTAACCTCTGCAGAAGGGAGCAGCCACTTTTCTTTTTTAACACTTTTATTGAATTCCTCATAAAGATCTAACCTTTATAATATTTTCTTTTAGTATACTGGTCTCAAGCTGACACGCTCCAGGAGGTTGATGTGCCAATAGTTGGAAACAACAAGTGCACCTGCTACTTTAAGAGCAGTTACGATTACTACAGTGCGAACACACCAACAGAAAACCAACTCTGTGCTGGCCAGGAGGATGGATTGAAAGATGCATTTTATGTAACTATCTATTTTTGTGTTTTGTTTAATATTTATTACTTGTTTTACTCTGAATTAACATCTCATAATAGCACTGAGCTTTTAATTTAAAACTTTGTGGTGTATTTTCAGTTTGCTTTATCATTATTTCTGAACCTATATTGTAGATGTCTGCATCTAATTTAGTAATATTCTAAAACGTTTTACCACAATTTTTTAAACTTTTTACATCATCTTTTAGAGGAAACATTTCTAAGGGGTCATTTTACTGCTTGTTTGGATAGTTTATTTAAAATTTGATTTGATCAAATGTGAAGTTTCTTAAACTTAATAATTTGTCATCTTGGAATGTTGAAGCTAGCAATAACAAAACCAATTAAATAGTTTTCATTTAATAATAAAACATGTTTCATCATTTCACTGATAAAATGAGTTTACAGTAGTTCCTCTCTACTTTGCGGTTCATTTTTCATGGACATGCTCCATCGCGGTTTTTCAAAATAAGATTGGACATGACACACGACTGGCTGATTGATGGATGAGGCGCACGATTGGCATGGAATTTTTATTTAAAATAAATTATTTTAAATTATTTAGCACCTGCTGCACCTTTGTGCAGCCCATACTGCAGGAGAAACTTCTTCCTGCAGCTCCCCCTCCTTCCTCCTCTGTCAGTCTCCATACTGCAGCAGAGAAGTGGGCATGGCCAAAAGCGCTGGCAGGTGGTAGAGAGAGCGGAGATCGTGACAGGCTGTGCTCTTTTAGAGCATTTAGAGTTTAGAAAAATTGTTTAGAATATTGCAAGAGTGTGGGAA